AGTAACAAGAAGGAAGTGGCCATATGACAGCTCTGCTGGGCCATTCAGCCAGCATTCCTTCCTGTGTGAGTCTTGTATTGTCTGTGTGAGCCTGGCCAAACCCCCTGGGCTCTGGCAATAAACCCAGCCAGTGTCCTTGTTCTTCGGCCTCTGAATGGGACAGCCAGAAACTTGCGGAACCGTGGCAACAACATCCAAGGTGGGACCTCCTGAGGGAAGCAAACTGGATCAAACAATGCAGCAGGCAACATAAAAGTCCCACAAATGTGAGGGTAAAGCCCAAATCCCATGCCAGAAGACATCTAACTTCAGGGCTTAGAAAGTTACTGTAAGGTTTGAAGACCCTGAGCCTCCATGGATGGAGGTCAAATGGCAGAGGAAGTGGTGAAGGCCTAGGAGTGGTTGCTTTGCAGGCCCTTGAACTGAATAAGAAAGCTCAAACCAGGAGAAAAACCCAAGTTCCATTTTGAAAGTTTTTCAACTTGACAGTCTCCCTGAATTTCCTGGAAATCCTGCCTTGGGAAAAAACCCAAACCAGGAGAAAAACTCAAGTTCCATTTTGAAAGTTTTTCAACTTGACAATCTTCTCAATTTCCTGGAAATCCTGCCTGACCCCACAGATAGGGATTGAAAGAAGGCAACCCACAGGGATTGGAGAGGCTGAAGGCCTACAGAAAGTGCTCCACTGTGGCTGGCAGGCAACAGAGGCCTAGGTTGGGACAACCCCAAAGCCATTGGTCTGGATACAGCTCCTTCCTGACCCCCCCCCCCCAAGATTCTCCAACTTCCTGTTTCCTGGCCTCAGTCCCGAATGCTTCCCCACTCTAGAGGGCTCTCTCACTCCAGGAAACTTTTCCCCCATCCAGGACGCTTCTGTTTCTAAGGTCTTTGAGCCTGCAGGCTGCAACACCAGCACAGACCTTGGGCTTTTGGATGAATTCTCTCTCTTAAGACTCCCCATTCCTTTCCCTCCAGATCAAAATGCAAGTTGTTTCTCCAGGGGTCCATGTGCAAACAGCATTCTTAGGACGAGTGACTAGCTCTGGCGCCGTGTGGGCTAGAGGAGAGTAGCTGTGCTCTTGGGAACTTTGGGGTAGCCTGAAGCCTCCGAAATTGGGGAGCATTCTGGGTCTCCTCAGAGAGGTCCTCTGGTTAGGCCTTTGTGGAAGCTGTCCCCCAAAGGGTGTGACTAAAGATGAGTGATCCCAAGGCCAAGGCTGAGGGACCAAGAACCAAACCTCAGGATGAGTCCTAAAAGCCCAAGGTTTGAAGTGGAAGGCAGTCAGGCCCAGCATTCATTTTGTCTGTCAGTGCAATGGCTACAGCAGCTGTGATGTGTCCCCTGGGTCGCCTGATGCCTACCAGCTGGGGCTCTGAGCAGCTGGCCAGGCCAGGTCTTGGGTCCATTTCCCCTTCCCTTCTGAGGTGGGGTCTCCAGGGAGGGGGTGGGCGAGCCATTCCCCGCTGTCCCCTTGGAGACCAGAAAGCTCAGCACTGCCCTGACCCCAGAGCTCTTTGAACTCAAAAGAGATGCAACCCAGCCACCCCACAGTGCAGCCAGCCCTGCCTCAGCTTCAAGTCAGTCCTCACCAGCAGAGCCAAATCTACCCCTGCCTGTCAGACCCACCCTGTCTCCCAACCGCACTAAACCCAGGCTGGAGGAGCCCACTTTTGGCACAGAAGATGGGTCCCTCAAAGCCTGACCAGTTTCTCCCAGGGTTTGCGGAGAGCAGGTGGGGCAGGGTCTGAGCCTGCAGCACGTATCTTGCAGCGCCATTGTCGCCTGCCCGCAGGATGACCCCGAGTTCAGGGAATTGGGAGTCTGCAAACAGGGCCCTAAAGGCGCACAGACTTGCCGCCCCCAAAGTAATGAAGGAACCTAAAACTTCAGTCTCTGAATCGGGTCACTACACAGCAACATCTGAAGAAGAAACACATTCCTTAAATGTATGCTTGACCGGCTCCTCCTCGACTGCCGTCCCACTCTCCCGGCCTGGATTTGCCTCTCCGTACCACTTCCCTAGGTGTGGGGAGAAGTGCATCTAAGACACTGTTCTTGTTTACTGCCTCAAGAGGGGTATTCTGAGATTCTTCCGACCCCCACCTCCCACCCGCACTTAACTGAGAATTCCGAGGAATGCGAGGGTGGCACCTGAGACGAGGGGTGGTATATTGACCCAACCTCGGCCGGCTGAAGTAGGGGTGGTGAGCTGCAGCTGGCTTGGTGGGGGCACCCGAGGGTGAGAGGCGTGGGTGCCTCGGCTGGAAAAGAAAGAATAGGACTGGGGCGTGAGAGCGGGACGTGTAAAAGCCAGTGATGAGAGTCAGAGCATCCTAAGTGAGAAGTGGGGTGCCTTTCCCCCAGGGGTGAAGGTTGCGATGTGAGGGTCTTTACAAGGAGAGACAGTGCAAAACCTGAAAGCCCCTGTAGAGATGATGAGGGAACCCTTGGAGACCAGAGACAGGAGACTGCGGGAGAATGAGGATGTGAACGAAAGCTGTGGGTCCCTCTGCAAGCTGTGGAGCAGGCTGGGATTTGTCGCTGGGGAAAGACCTGGGCAGGCAGGGTTTGGCCTGGGGTGGGGGATAAGGCCAGAAGAGCTGCGTGATGAGCTCCTGGCGCCACCACCTTCCTGGCTGGCATGGGGGGGGTGTCCATGAGACAGCTGAGAGCCCCCTCAAACCCAGAACCAAGGTTTAATCTCTTAATCTCCCTCATTAATCACTCACCCTCCTCTTGGCCCCCTTCTCGGATCCGGTTTCGCCCCAGCTCATGTTCCAGATGCTTCATTGGGAAAAGCCCCCTTCTGTGGCCCCGGGATAGTCTGGACTACTCCCTGGCCGCTGAGATGACCTTGGTTTGGCTTCTGCTGTCCGTGGCATCTTCCTTTTTACTAGTCTCTGTGTCCCACCCCTCCCCCAAACTCCTGTCTGGGGACTGTCCGACCCCATTACCTGAGCAGAGCTGCAGAGGAGAGAAGGTAGTCTGGGAGGGTGGAAGGGGAGGAAGTCAGGCCCATAAGGAAAGCCCTATACTCCTCACAGACACACAGGGGTAATTGAGAGCAGAGGTAGACACACATAAAAGCCGTGTAGTGGACGCATGAGTGCCTGTTGCAGTGTCTGTTTGGTGACATGTCTGGGATATGGTAGGACAGTTCCTGCTGCCTCTTGGGATCTGCTTTAATTGCGGGTTAAGTGAAACCACAGGATGGTGCTGAGGCCTGTGGCCAGAGCATCTCCCGCCCTCCCCCATACCCTACCATTAATAACCAATTAACAAGATCCTGAAGCAGCTCGGCTTTCCACCATGGCCTGGCTCTGCTCCCTGACCCAGCAGTGGCTTATCGGGCTTCAAGTTTATTGCCCACGCCACTATGAAAGCACTATGTGAAGGTCAGGGTGTCTGGGGGTGTCATCGGAGGGGCTCCTTTACCACTATTTAAATGTGTTCCCATCTATGTCAGGGAGTATGGCTCTCCTAAACCATGCTTGTGGTGCCCCAAGGAAGACAGGTGAACACAGAGGGGCACTGCCTATGTGGTGAGAGGTGCAGAGGTCAGCAGAGAAGGTGACATAAAGGACATTCAGGAGGGATGGTGTAGTTCCTCATAGCACTGGGGGTGGGGGTAGGGATACTAGAAAAAAAACATCAGTTCCCAACTGCCCTGACAGCAAAGCAGCATCTTCTTTGAGAGTGGCAGTGCTTCTTGTCCCTTGGGCTGTGTATGAGTCTGTGGCTGTCCCTTGCCAGCCACTGTGTATGAGTTGAGCTAGAAGAAGAAAGCTGAATCTTTGCCAAGACTCCACTTTAGGGTAGTATTGTCTCACAGCTGCCTTCTTTCTCCACAGGAAGTTCTTTGGGTGCTCAGCCAGATGTAAGCCCAGGGCCGGAATAAGTGCAGGGGTGAAAGGAGACAGGGCCTGAGTAGGAATGAATAGAGCAGCCTCAGAGTTGGTGTCTGGGTTGGCAGGGGCTCCATCAGATGGTTGGGCCCACAAGCCTTCAAATCAGTCTTCCTGGGGAGTGACTCCATCCTGCTCTCTGAGACTGGTACTGAGCATTTAAGGCTGGAGGAACCACACCTGAACTACAAGAGTTCCCTAAGAAGTCACTAAGAGACCAATAGAGCGAGTAGGGGACCTTCAGTGGAGGACCAGCCTCCCTGGCCACGACTCCTTCTGAGCACCAGGGCTACCTCCAGTGCTGCATTTCTCTCTCCTGTGGCTCAAGTCTCCTTGTGTTTTGAGTCATTTGGGACCTCTCAGCCTTGCTACGGCAGACTCCCGTCTATTTACCTGCACTAGCTTCTTCGTGGCATTCCCATTATTGTTGTCCCTCAGCTGGGCCAAGTCCTCCAGTGTCTCACCTCCCAGGCCCCCTCACCACGCTAATCGCTTCCAGCCACCAGATCTGTTTAAGAGAGGTGTTCTTTTTTTCTCTTTATTTCTTTCTCCTTCCTTTCTTCCTTCCTTCCTTCCTTCCTTCCTTCCTCCCTCCCTCCCTTCCTTCCTTCTTTCCTTTCTTCCTTTCTTTTTTCCCAGGGGTTGAGGCAGAAGGGGCCAGGTTAGGAGTCTGAGGTCTAATTGAGATCAGGGATCCTAGCACAATCAGCCCTGATCCTCCCCCTTCCAAACACTGCAAATTCCCAGACGTTGGGGCCAGAAAAGTAGTTTTATCACCCACGAGTTTGTGAGCTGGTGGCGCGGCAAGGCGGAGAGGCGGACGGCACACAGTGCGGCCCCGTTTGCGGCCCTCGACTGGCAGCAGGTTTGACGGGGTTCTCCCTGCCCCTCTCCAACCTGTAGATATCAGGCTTATGGGACGTCTATGGGCTCCAGACCTCCGTGGCCCTGGAGAAGAGATAGGGGCACAGAAGGAGGGGCGCACGGGACTCGAGAGCCGGGGGCGGGTCTGAGGCAGGGGGCCCAAATTGGGAGCCCAGGCGGCCTCAGAGTAAAGCGCAGCGGGCGGCGGGACCACTCCACCCCGGAGGGCCATGAATTCGGGACGCCAGCCCCGGACACCCTTCAGCATCGCGGACATCCTGGGCCCACGCGTGGCCCCCAGATCACCTTCTGCGCCGCAGCTCCCAGCGCCGGGCCCCGACCCTGCATCGCCGCTGTGCGCGCTGGAGGAGCTGACCAGTAAAACCTTCCGCGGACTGGACGGGCGCGGGCCCCCGCGACCCTCTGAAGGTACCCGCGGGCCTCGACCCGACCTTAGCAGCCTCCCTCCTCTGTCCTGTTCTCACTCGGTCGAGCCACCCTAATGCGCTCCTGGCCCGGTGCACGCATCAAGACTCGCACCTGTGGCTCCTGCCCTCTCCTCTGTCCCCTGCTAACTCGGGTCCCTCTCCGAGGCCGTGGAGAAGCGAGAGGCCAGTGGGTCGGTTCGCTGCAGGCGGGACAGCGCGACCAGCAGGCTGTGAGAGACAAAAGGCCCCAGGCCGGGCAAGGCGTCGTGGAAAAGGCTGGGAGGAGAGTCCTCCGAGCTGTGCTCCGCGCCTAGCTTCTTGGGGCGCTGGGGGTCGAGGGTCCCGGGCGGTGTCGGGCATGCGCTCCCCGCCTCCTCGCTCCCGCTCCTCTCACCGCCGCACTTGGGAGCTGGCTGCTGTACACGGATTGCCCCGCAGTCCTCAGGGGGCTAAGGGGTCCTTACCCTTCGCGAGGCCGGGTCGCGGTCCCTCCTCTGCCTGCCTCTGGTGCCACCCCTAACCTGCTGTCCTGCACAGCTCCCGGCGGCCAGACCTTGCACCAGATCGCCTCCGGCTTGTCCCGCCCTTCTTTCCTTCTACTCCCCGCAGCCCTGCCTTAGCCCTCAGCTTGCCCCTCGGGAACCCCAGTGGCTGCACTTTGCGTCCCCATCCCCAACCTCAGCCCGACCCCACACGCTTCGGTAAGTTACACAGCTCTGGTTCCCCGCCGTCTTCCAGGCTCTTTTTCTCCGGCCGGCCCCACGGACCTGTCCCCACCCCCAGCGTTTCCTCCCGGGGCACAGCCGCATTCCCGCCCTCGGAATTCTAACCCCGTTCCCGCCCTCTCCCTGCAGGCCAGGCCGCCCGAGACCCGCTGGACCCTGGTTCTACGGCCCGCAGAAGGCGCAAGACACGCACTGCGTTCACTGCACAGCAGGTGCTGGAGCTGGAGCGGCGATTCTTTTTCCAAAAGTACTTGGCACCTTCAGAACGTGACGGACTGGCTGCTCGACTCGGCCTGGCCAACGCGCAGGTTGTCACTTGGTTCCAAAACCGCCGTGCCAAGTTCAAGCGTGACGTGGAGGAGATGCGTGCCGATGTGGCCTCGCTCCACGCCTTGCCACCTGGAGTTCTGTGCCGTCTAGCGCTGCCCAGTGGTGTGCCGAGCCCTGGCCCCCGCCCCAATGGAACCGACTCCGGGGCCCACTTATCAGACGAAGAGATACAGGTAGATGACTGAAGGCAAAGCCACCGCCAGCCGTGGGCTCTGGGGCTCTGGACTTCTGGGCTCCCTGCTCTTGGTCTTGTTTGTCCGTGTTGGGGTGGAGGGAAGAGGTCCCTCCCAGGTCTGTTCCCGCCTACAGTCCAGACGCCCACCTTTCCCAATTGTTGAGAATAAAGTTGAGGATCTGTTGCTAAACACCTCCATGCAGACCTCCGGGCCAATAACAGCGAAATATGCTTATTACTGGAGAGATTTGGTGGTAACTCTGTGAAAAGCACTTGAAACGCAGGATGGTTCCTTTAGCCCTCATAGCAACCCGATAAGGTAGGTGTATAATTATGTCAATTTTACAAAAAGAACTTCAAGGTCAAGATTTGATCCAAAGGGGGGGGGGAGATTTGATCTGGACATCCAGGCAACCTTCAAAGCCATGTTTGTCATCTTTCTGCTCAGTAGACAATGGACACAGGGAAAGGAGGCCAGGACTGTCTGTGGCTGCAGGCCACTAAACCCTTACTAGCTGCCTGTGGTCGAGGACGCTATCCTGCCTCTCTAACCAGAGTGGCCTGGGAGAGCTCTAAGATAGATGCTGACCCCTGAGAGGCCACAGTGTGCTTGATCTTGTCCTCTTTCCCCACCCTTGAATCATTTGTAGTGAGTTCCCCCTCTTTCCCCTGTCTGCATTAAGAACCCTATGCTGAGACAAAATGAAGGCTGTCCGCAGAAAGGGCACCCCCTACCTCTGGGGCTTGTGTGCGACTCCTGCGCTGACCATGTACCCACCAGGACCAGCTGGCAAGGAGCTTGTTGGGCCAACTTCAGTGGAGCTCTGAGTAGTTAGACTTGCCTGCTGGGGATCCTAGCCGAGGGCCAAAGCTGACATTTCTGACATTTATTTATTCTGTGGAGATTAATCACCCTCTTGCAGAGTGATGGGGGAGGGGAAGGGACACTTGATAGCTATAGGACTTGCTGGTCTCTGGCTGACCCAGCTGATCTTTGGAAGACTGTGCCTAGGTTTTTCCGTTTCTCTGTCTCTCCTCAGTCTTGACTCTCTTCAGACTGCCCCCTGCTTCTGCCCAGATATGACAACTCCACTTCCAAAGTTGCCCCAAGGGTTGGGGGTATCAGGAAGGCCCCAGTTGCAGATGGAGATTCAAGGAAAGGATGTTATAGGGTGGATGGACAAGATGGAAAGCAAAGCCAACTGTGGTAGCATACACCTGTGATCTGAGCACTTGAGAAGCTGAGGCAGGAGATTTGCCACAAACTTGAGACTTGCCTAGGCTACACAGTGAGTTCAAGAGAGCTTGAACTGTTGGACACATGCCTATAGTCCCAGCATTTGGGAAGCTGAGGCAGGAGGGCCACCGTAAGTTCAAGGCCAGCCTGAGTTACACATAAAGACCCTGCCTCAAACTAAAACCAAAACAAACAAACAAAAAACTGGAAAGTAAGAGAGGACCTGGCATTTAGGAGCTATCCCTTGTTCTGAGTGCTTTGGATGGCTTGTCACAATTACCCAATGGGCCAGACAGTTCTTATTCCCATTTCCAGAAAAAAGAAACTAAATCCCAGGAGCCCAAGAAAGATTAGCCAGGCTGTGCAGAATGTATGTGGTAATGTGAGGCTAATCTCCACGCTTGCCACACTCGGGGACACATGCCTTCGGTCAACACAGGTGCTGTCCCTGTAAAGGTGACTGGCCTATCTGAAAGCAGCAAAGGATACACAGAGAGAAAAGAGCCAAAAGGGCTAAAGGTAGGGAGTTACACTTCATACTTTAGGCAAAGCATGGGATGGGCTAGAGGGGAAGAGACCAGAAGCACTGTTTAGGGCATCTTAACGTGGCTGAATGTGCCAGATGGGCCAGACCCTGCCAGAGACCTGAGGGAGGCAAGCCACTTGGAAGGAAAGAGCAGAGAGAGTTCAGGGCTAGTCTTTGGGGTGGGTGGATGGTCACAGAAGAGGTATGATTTCTTCCCAGTGACCAAGAACTGTATGAGTCAGGAACAATCATACAAGCCCGGATAACTTAAAGAAAAAAAATGATCCTGTGGATAGAAATAGACGAAGACCAGCAGTGCAGAGTTAACCATCTGTAAGTCACTATACACAAAAACTATTCCTTGTCATTGTGCTGCCCCTTGAACACACATATGCAACCTACACACCACCCTGGCTCCTACTGCCCTTGTTCCCTTTATCACCCACAAGCTGCGTTTCTGGAAACTTCCTAGGTGGTGACCAACTCTTCTCTTTGCCCAGTACTCTGCCAGTCATAGTAAAGACCCACACCCCAAGAAAACCACGATAGTTGTTCACCTGCTTTCCATCCCTGAAGACTCCAAATCCAGGCTGCTGGGGCAGAATGCTATCAACTAGGGACCAGTGAGTGTGGGCAGAGTGGAGGCATGGTGTCAGGACTCCTGTGGCTCTTGGCTAGAAGATTCCAGTCCACGACAGGCTAAAGAGGTGCTGGGAGGGAACATTAATCTGCTAATTAGAAGAGTGCTGGCTCACAGCTGTAATCTGAGCACTCTGGGAAGCTGAGACAGGAGGAGCACCAAGCTGAAGCCCAGTTTGGGTGATTTAGGGATGATGATAATGATGATAAAATAATAAAATAATAATAAGCTGGGGATGTAGCTTAGCATGAAGAACCTGGCCAGAAGAATTTAAAAAAATAATTTTTAGAAGAGCAAGGAACTAGCTCATTATAAAGGCTAACACGACACACAGCACTAGTCTGTGACTACTCTTTGTGGGGCTAGGAGCCCTAGTAATGTTCCTGAAGCATTCTGATCAGGTCCCCACAAAAAACCCTGTGGGCAGATCTCTTAAGGAGTTATTAATTTCTACTTATGTAAAAAGAACCACCTCTCTCCCGCCACTCCCCAAACAGGGATGGGAGAAATCCCAGGCAAGTCATTCTAGCTAGGAAAGTAGGTTCCAGTCAGCTCATTGGCTCTGAACCACAGCCCCCTCCTCTTGAGGCTTCTTAAACTGCAGCCCCGACAGCGCTGCCACCTCTAGTACTCAATATATAGGCAACACTCCAATCTGTCCTTCCAGAATGTCCTCCGCATGGCCATCTGCTGTGCTAGGGCCCTAGAGTGTCCATCATGACCGCCTGGAATGCTTAACGGAAACACATTTCTGGACTTTGATGCAGGCCTGCTCTGGGGCCTGAGGGTTTACATTTGTCACAAGTTTCTGGTTGGTGCTGACACTGCTATTCAGAGACCACACTTTGAGGTCCACAGTCCCAGGAACTTTGGATTTCCTAAAATTCAGCAGCAATTTACTCTTATGCTCCTCTTCCTATTGTTATGATCTCAGACACGTAAGACAGTTGACAGGCAAAACTTGTTAGCACCCACTGTGTACCAGGCACTTTGTAGGTATTTTATTACTTTATTACACAACAGCCCTGTGAGGTAGAGAGTCCCCCATTTTACAGATGAGGAAGCTGAGGCTTAAATATTGATAGCTGACCAAAATGATACAACTAGTAATGGCAGACTTCATCTTGCTAGTGTTTAAGGAGCCTAAACCATAAACAGTAAGAAAGATCACGGGAAGTTGTATATGAGGGATGTTTCAACATCTCTCTCCAAGTGCAAATCAGATTGGGCAAGACTTATAGGGCAAAAGCATTTGTCCTCACGAAAGGTTGGGTGGGATACAGGTCTTCAGTGGGTGTAGAGTCCTAGCCACGGCCAGGAAGGATCCAACTAAGGGAGGCTGCCAGGATCTTAAGCCAGAAGGAGACCCTAATTCTTACACAGAAAGTAATTCTAACCATCAGTGGAGGAGGCTGGCATCAGACCACTCGATGAAGGAGGGGTCAGACTGTACACAGCAGCATGGCCAGAAAACGCACAAGGAGCTAGCAGCAAACTGGGGACTGTGGCCAGAGAAAATGGCAAGAATGGGGCCCAGGGAGAGGCGAGCATGCACCAGGCTGCTGAAGGGTGGCACTCAAGTTTTATTTACTACCTGACAGACACCCCATCCTTGAGCACACAGCTCCACCTGATTTAAGCACCTTAAGTCCCAGATGAAACTTGCTGGCTCTCTCATCCCAAAACCCGAACTTCTGCACACTGCAGCCTCCCCCACCCCCACAGTGCTGAGCACCGGGGATGGATCCTCGCACCTTGGTGCTGAGCTGCATTGCCAGCATATTTTTGAGATAGGGTTTTGCTAAGTCACTAAGTTGCCCAGGCTGGCCTTGAACATGTGAACCTCCTGCCTTAGCCTTCAGAGCACTAGGCAGCTCCCCATCTTCAGCCTTGAGCTCTGTTTCTGTTTCTTTACTGCCCCCAGAAGAAGCTATCTGCTTGAGAACCAAAGAAAGGATGTTTCAGTGGATGCGGGGCTCCCTTCTCCCTTGAGAAGATTCTCCTGGGCAAAAGCATTGCCTGCGGGGGTACATTTAATAAGGAATTTGTCTGTCTTCTTTTGTAATCCAGGATGGCCTTGTTTTTGTAATTCAGGATAGAATGCTTGAAGTCACTGTAACTCAGGCTGGCCTCAAACTCACATCAGTGGCATCCTGCTTCAGCCTCCCAACTGCTGGGATTACAGGCATGCATAACCACATCCAGCTCTTAATTTGGATTTAGAGTACAGGGTCTCAAAGTACACAGTAAACCATCAGCACACAGTGTTCCCTATCTGTGTAAGATGCACATATGGCCTCACCAGGAGAGAAGGAGCCTCCCTTATCTGGCCTGAGGTAAATGCCCACGCCCAAGACTCTGGATGCCCCAGCCCTTTCAGGGGCCCTGGAGATGAAGAGGGTGGGGTCTTCTGATCTGAGTCTGGTTGAGGAAAGGCCAGCTAGGCTGGCTCAGAGGATGTGCAGGACAATACAAGGGTGGAGACAGAAGCCCTGGGGCCCTTGAAGCCACACTCTGACTGCGAGAACAGGCCAGAGTCTCCTGGCTCAAGATGGGGAAGTGACGAGGGGACCCCAGTCCATCCAGGTGGCACACAGATTCTTCTTCATTGATCCTGCTGAGAAAGGAGAGAGAGGGGCACATAAGCCGACCATTCCTGCACCCTCTGTTCCTGCCTGAGGGCGGCCCTGTTCCCTTACCCAGGCAAGCTAGAGAAGGCAAGAGTGGAGTTCCCAGGCTGCATCTGGCTGGTACCCGCACCTCAGAGTCTCTTGGAACATGGTAGCTGCTTCCTCAAAGCGCTTTGGTCCCAGAGGGATTGGAGAAGGGCAGGTTTAGGCATCAGGGAACCAGGGAAAAAGACCAACTGCACCTCCTAGAGCCATACCATGGAGATGCTAAGACATGGGAGCTGATCTAGGAAATGTCAGCATAGAGCCCATTACCCCATACGCACCCCACCTTACTCCCATTTGTCCTCTGTTTTCAGGCCCTGTCCTATTACCTGCAGTCCCATCAAGGCTTTGCCCATGCGGAAGAGGCCCCTGGGCCAGCCAGGTTGTAGGGTAAGGGCCACATGGGCATATGCCAGGGCCCATGCCGGCTGCCTCAGCCTCTCATGGCAGAAGGAACGATTTCCAAATAACCTGATAGAGACATGGAAAGTGGCCATGGGAACAGGTCTTCCACACCCTGCCTATGCCTGATCTCCTAACCCAGTGGCCAGGCCCTGCCTACCGGTGGTCTTGGGGGTTGAGTTTCAAGGACTGAGTGAAAAGAATAACCACTTCATGGTAGAAACCATTTTAAGCAAAGCTAGTACCCAACTCTGGCAAAAAGAGAGGGTGGGAAGGTTCGTTCCACTGGGGCTCCCCGAGGAAGGGGATGAAGAGGGATAGACAAAGGATCTCACTTGCCAGCTCCTGGCTCTGCTGTGAGGCAGCTGCCAGCCATCCCAGAGCTGCCTGGGGATGGGGAGGAAGTCAAGCAGGCCTCCAGGCCTTGGTTTCCCCCAGTCTTCTCCCTTTGTTCTGTCACACTGCAGCTAGGACCACCCAAGGACTATGTGCAGCTCTCCTGACAGCTCTGCAAGAAAGTACCCTCCTCCAGAGGGGTGACAGTGATGAAGCCAGGGCCCAGGTCTCAGCCCTAGAAGCAAAGAACCCCTAATGGACAGCACCCTGAGCCCTCAGTTCATGCGCTTTCTCAGAGCCTCTGGATCCCCTGCTCACCTCACCTGTGCCTCAGGACACTGCCTGGGTCATTCCTCTCTTGGGGGGTTCCTTTCCTTTTGGCCCATGTTCTCCTGCAGGCCCTGGTCCTTGATTTGGGGCTCCTGCTTTGGTCCCTTCTCTCAGTGGGTACTTGGGAGCCAAACCCCAACCTTGCACAAAGCCAGAGACACAAAACTGCTAGATAGATCCAGTAAGTTCTGTAAGCAGCAGGAAAGTTAGGGGTACAGAAAGGCACATAAGGCACGTTCTTACCTTTATGTAGAAGCTAAGAAGCTGATTTCACAGAAGTAGAGAATAGAATGGTGGTTACCAGAACCTGGACAGGGATTGGGGGAGGGAGAAGAGAAAGAAGAGGATTAGTGGGTACAGGGCTGCAGTTAGGTAAGAGAAGTAACTTCTAGCTTTATAAAACAGTAGGATAATTATGGCTGGCAACAATCAATTATTTCCTAACAGCTAGTAGAGATTTTGGATGTTCTCACACAAAGAAATGATAAACCTCTAAGGTGATGGAAGTGACTGTGATCTGACACATTGTATGTATGCATGAAAATGTCACGCTGTAGCCATAAATATGTACTGTTACTGTGCACCAACTAAAAATAACTATATTTAAAAAATACATTGTAAAAATTTCTCAAGAAAAATTAAAGAGAAGCTAGGAATGAATCATATTTTGATGTAGAAGGAGAAGATGGGCAGAGACCAAGAAGGGAAGGAAGGGGCTCTCACCTCTCCCTCACCACACTGTCCCTGAGCTGTGTTTCCAGGGCTGGCTGGGGGGCTCTCGTCTTCCTCTGGCATAACCGTAGCCTGGATGGAAGGTGGGAAGAGCTGGGATTACCCTAAGCCACCTCCCTTCGCAGCCCCATCTTCTGGCCCTTGCAGCTCTTGGTATCTGCCTATGGAAATCACCTTGGGCTCCCTGCTGTCCTGCTCCAAGCGCTCCTGTTGCTTTCTTTCTTTCTGACACTGCAAAAATAATAATGATTTTTTTTGAGCACTTACTATATGACATGCACTGGGTTAAGTTTTACATACATGATTTCATTTATTACAACAACTCTAGGAAGTATGTACTGTTACATTCTGAAAAAACAGACAGGAGAGTCACCAGCCAGAGGTTCATAGCAAAAAGGGAACAGATTTCAACCATGGCAGTACAGTGGGATTCTAGAGCCACCACACTGATGGCTTCCAGGAGAGCCTGCAGGCCTGAGCCCCTACAGCCTACCCAGTAAAGGGGCCACTACAGACTGCCTGGAATTCCCTCCTGTTGTCACTTACTTGCCTGTTTCCCTTCTCCAACTCCCTCTGGGTTCCCCTCCTTCTACTCCCAAACACCTTCTTCTTGTATCCTTTCTTCTCTGCTTTCTGTTTCATGCGCTCCTCCTCCTCAGCCACCAGCTCCTCAGCCAGGCAGTTGGATTCCTGAAGTAGGAAGGGCAGGTGAGAGGAGAAGAACAGGGAACAGGGAGAATGAGAGAGAATGCAAAGGGAGGCAAACTGTACAGAACGATCTGGAAAGGTACTGCTTAGGGGAGGTACAGGGCGAGACTACAGGGACCATGAGGCCCCTTCCTGGGAATCTCACCTCTTCAGTCACCAGGAGCTTCTGGAGTATGGTCACCTTCAGCAGGCTGTCTGAGACACTACAAAAGGATGGAGATGCAGAGGGGCTTTGAGGGCAGGAGTCAGACCTTTGAAAAGGGCAAAGGAAGGACTTTCGGAGACCACAGCAGGTGCCCAGGCCCTCAGACCCTTTGCCCCTGTCACTCTGTGTAGGCATGTTTCTTTCATTAAGGAAATCATCAGGAGGTGACCTGTTAGGAGCAAAAAAGAAAAAGGAAGAGGAGCATGAACACCCGAGGGTCAGCCCACCCCAGGGCTCCAGCCTTGATCCGGGGTCCTGCACGCCCCACCATGGTGCCACTGCTGCAGCTGCCCGCTGCTCCCATCCACAGGAATCTGGTGCAGGCCCTGGGGATCATTCTCTATAAGCTGGTGAAGAAAATCCACTACATCCTGGGAGGGGAAGGGAGGGGAGGCAGGTGTTGGAGGAAGCTCTGGGAAGGACAAGGGGTTGCCTGGCCGGACCTCTCCACCATGGCAGCCACACGGCGGCCACCCAGTCCCCGCTCTCCCAGGGGCACGCTGCCATGTCCTTGAATATGAAAGAGCCCCCCATATAGAAATAAATACACTAGTGTCTGGGGGACTATTCCCTGTATTGTTTCTCCCCTAAGCCAAACTCTCAGAAATTACTCCTTGTTCAAAATTTCCAATGTCCCTCACGGCCAAGGCCATAAGCAGACTGAATCTAGCACCCATGCCTTGGATTCAGAGCCCTCCAGAAAGCTCCCTGGCTGACCTCTCCACCCTTCTCTTGCAATCCTCCTCTGTTTAGCTGCCATCCTCCCTTGGCCCCCAGGCCCTCTCTAGCCTTGGGGTTACCTCCCAGTTGTCTTCCAAACCTTCCTAGCTCAGAGCTCTTTCTCACACCTTGCCTCACTTTGAAAGTCCAATTCATATTCCATCTCCTCTCCCAGCTTCCTCAGATGTTTTCCTGTCCAATTAGTTCTGGCTTCTCTCAACAAAAAATGTACCCACATTCATTGCTTTTTTATTGCTGTCTTTTTTTTTTTTTTTTTTTTTCTGGAACAGGGAATTGAACTCAGGCCCTTGTGCTTACCAGGGAAGCACTTATTCCACTGAGCCATCTCCTCGGCCCTTAATGCTGTCTTAATTGGTGACAAAGAATGGAAGTGGAAAGAGTGTCATGCTAGAGTGGAGCCACTTGCATCCTCCTTTCAACTCTACTCCTGCTTGGATGTTTCATTTTAGAGAAGTCATTTAGCTCCACTGAGGACCTTCCTCATTGACAAAATGAGGTATGACTCTTCAAGGTTTGACCCAGATACTCTACTTTTAGGGTGGGGGTCGGGAACAGAACTCATTCCCATTTGGTCTCCCACTCATATACACTCCCAGAACCCACACTCTGCTTCTGATGAGCCACTTCCTCAGTGAGCATAAGCTACATGATCAACCCCCCAACCATAGCTTCAGAAATTTTCTCCTACTCTCTCATTACCTTCCTTCAGCCACCAATCCTAAATTCCTGCTTAGAACTTTAGATCCGCTGTCCTCTTTAGATCTCAGGTGAAATGAGGCCTTCAACTGAGGCTGGGTGGGCTGGGGAGGTGGCTCAGTGGAATAAGCACTTCCCTGGCAATTGCAAGGGCCTGAGTTCAATCCCACAATCCCACTGAGGCTGGGAACTAAGAGGGGCAGGAATGCAAATGAAGGGTTTGTTTCAAGAGACATTTCTGAAGTTGCTTTTAGTGAAGGACTGAATACATGATGTAAAAGAAAAGGAAGATTATAAAAGGATTCTCAGATTTCTGGATTAAGCATCTAGATATGTTTGTTTTATGAACTAAAACTGGGATAAGGATAAAAGCAATCAATTTGCAGAGATGATGAGTTAACTTTTGGACTTGATATTTTTGGGAGGTGCTTTTTGAGGCAAGGTTTTGCTATGTAGTTTGTGCTGCCCTTGAACTCAGTATCTAGCCTAGGCTGGCTCTGAGCTCATGACAGTCCTGACAGTCCTCCTGCCTCAGCCTCCTGAGTGCTTGGATTACAATTGTGCATCACCAAGCCAGGCTGGACTTGTTGAGTTTGAGTTTCTAGAGATGACCAGAAAGTAATCAGCACATTAGCTCTTCAGTGCTCCCAAATCTGATCCTGTCCCCCACCTCCTTTGAGGACAGCCAAGCCCTTGTGCTAATCACCCAGCCATTCTCTGCTTTCTCTCTGGTTCCATCTTTTTACTGTTTCAGCCAAACCCTCTCCACTACGATCTCACTTTAGCGAGGTTCTTTTTATTTTTCGTAGCGCTCCCATTGTCCTCTCTCTACAATATCTTTTCCCAAGACACTCGTACTTGTGTCCAGTCCTCGACCCAGATACACCTGTCTGCTCAAGTCTCACTCTGACCATTTATTAACATGAGGATCGTTCTTCGGGTCCCTTCACTTCTCTAGCTGGCTGCAAAGCTACTCTTCCCAGAGATCCCAGGGCAAGCACTGTTTGGTGCCGGCTCAGCGCGCGAGCCTCAGCACAGCTGAATAAAAGGCACGAAGGAAATGACCATGCCGGGCTCTAGGAACTAGCCGAGGTCTCTCTTACCTCTTCTCCGCAGTCCTTGGGACCAAATTCTTTGCAGAGTCTGGGGACAGCAGCGACCCCCAGCGGGCAGCCGGGCCGCAGAGGGCAGTCTATAGGAAAGGAAGGCGGTGCCCCGTGAGAGGGCTCGGGTCAGAAGGCAAGAGCCCTCCCACCTCCACCTAAAGCATAAAATCCTGCTAAAAGTGTCCCAACAACAGAATCAAGCGAGGCTGCTCCTGCCCTCCTCAGCCCTCTCCGTCTTGTCACCCCGCTCACCTAGTTTGACTCTCCCCACAGTCTTCGGAACCGGCGCCATCTCCAGTCAACAGTAACCCGAAAGTGAAAGTCTAACATTTGACACCAGCCCGCTGGCAGGGCAGAGTAGCGTAGGCGGGCATCTTTGTTAGGGGCAGAGGCCGTCGGTTACGGAGCGCGAGAGCGTCCATGCGGGTCCCCGCGTGTGAGCCCGCCCTGCTGGGGGCGGAGACCGAGCTACCGCAGGCACCCGGAGGTGCGGGAAGGCCGCGAGCGTTAGGTCCGTTTCCCCCTCGCCGCTCCATGGCCCAGGCCTCTCGCTCCCGTGACCTTCTGCCCCCGTTGTGGGCCCAAGCCGGGGGCTCTGGGGAGCAGCCCTGGGAGGGAAGACGGGCCGGCGCGCTGCCCGGAGAGGGTCGTGGACCGCAGAAGCCGCCGTTTGCCGGGAGCATCCCCTGCCTGGACCTCCGGCCCGGGACAGCTCCGGGAGGGCGGCCGTGGTGGTCCGCGTTGGCATACGAGGACCAGGAGGCTGGCGAGGCAGAGTGGAGGCGGGAGTCTGCAGCCAGCAGCCCGATCCCTCCCGCGCTGCAGCGTCTCCGGCGGGTGCTGCTGCGGCTGCTCCGCGAGCGGGAGCAGCTCCTTCGGGCCCGGGACTGCGCCCGCCACCTACAGGCGGTCGTGCGCCTCCTGAGGACCCCGAGCCTCAGCGCGCCCACCCACGGTCCAGGCCCCTTGCCCCAGCTGTGCCGCGATCCGCAGCTGCACCCTTCCCGAGAAGCCGTCGTGCGAATCCGCCATCGGAACCCTCCCGAGGCGCTGCTTCTAGCGCGGCCCCTCGGACTAGCGGCCCAGCGCCTGGATGTTGTCATCGAGATGCAGCTTCGCGCTCTGGGCCGGGCTCCCGCCAGTCTGAGCCTGACGTCCCAACTCTCCGAGCTGTTCTTGTCGCTTCCCGTCTACCACAAGCTTCAGGGAAAAGCCATGAGCCACATGCCAGGCGCGTCGCGCCCCTTCCCCCCGGCCCGTGTGCTCCGTCTTCTAACAGGGGAGCGGGGTTGCCAGGTGGCAAGTGGGCTGAATGAGGCACTCAGGGGATTGTGCCTGAGGGACCAGCTCCGGTGGCGCTTTCAGGAGGAGCGGGAGCTGCTACCGGGGTTGCGGGGCCTAATAGCGGGCGTGGCCGGTTCAGTCAACGGTGGGCTGGGGCTTGGAGGAGCCGAAGCCCTTTGGAGCCAATATTGGACGCTTCTGTGGGCAGCCTGTGCACAGAGTCTGGACCTAAATCTGGGTCCCTGGAGGGGATACAGGGAAGTGGCACAGCAACTGAGTGAGGCACTGGTTCAGGGTGAGTGATAGGACCTGACTGGGCATTTGGGAGGGTCACAGGCATTTGCTTCTCCCCAGTCTGTGCACTTATTTGCCAGCCTGATGACAGAAGCAGTCTGTTTGCCTCCTTTTATTTACTTTATTCTGGTACCGGGAATTGAAGGAGTCCATTTGAATGAGCATCCCCTGGGTTCAGACAGAATACAGCTCTGGCCTTTCAAGACCAAGTTTTGCTTTTCTCCCCAGTCTTGAGTTGTGGAGGACCCTTCTTTGAGTGGGGAGAGGCTGTGGACAGGGAGACCTTTTCAGGCTCCAGAGTTATTTCTCCCTCTAGCATCCCTGCCTCAGGAGTGTGTGAAGGAGCTGGCTGCTTTGTGCCACAACCTACTTCATCAGTCTCTTATCTGGAGCTGGGATCAAGGTGAGGAGAAAGAGCCTGCTTTGGGGGGAGACAAGACCGGGGTGGCCCCTTCTGTATCAGACTGCACCCTCTCATCTTCAGGTTTCTGCCAGGCGTTGGCATCAGCAGCCTTTGGGGATCAGAACAGCCCTGCCTCGCACTCTCATACTAGTGAACTGTTGCGGCAGCTTTTTGCTCCACTCTTAGACATCTTCCAAGAATGTAGGTCAGGACTGATCCTCTGTCAGCCTCCAGGTGAGCTGAGGCCCTGACAAAACAGCTGGAGATAGCCCTTTGTTCCTTCACTCTGCTGTTTTGTCTCCTTCCTCCCAAAGGTGCTCCATGACCTGTAAGATACTCTGCTACTCTGCTTCCAGGTCCAGCACCTGTTGCCCTCGGGCTCTGTACCTTGCAGATCACCTTGCTTTGGTTCCTGGGCAGAATTCAGCAACACCTGGCAGCATGGGCCCCAGATTCCTTCCTGCTCCTGATCCAAAAGCACTTACCCGTGAGTAGCTAGGAAGTGGGGAAGGGGACAGTTTATGTTGTGCAAAGCTCTCACTTCCTGTTTCCATCCATAGCCTTTACTGCATGAAGTTGAAGCTTTATCCAGTCTGACTTCAGGGGAAAACATAACTCAGGAAGTGGAGCAGCAGCTAGGCCTGGAGATCCGAAAGCTGACTGCACGGATGCAGGTGAGAACAGGGAGCAGTCCTCACAGTAGTGGTTTAAGGCCATTCTGGGCTGGGGAAATAGCTTGGTAGCATAAGCACTTGCCTGGCCAGCACAAGGTCCATCCCCCATACTACATGTTGTGTCAGCCCTGGAAATAGGTGGAGTGGTGCATGCCTGAAATCCCAGCACTAAGGATGCTGAGATCAGATGATCGCTATGAGCCTGAACTGCACAGTAAGACACTAGACTCGGTATACAAAAAAAAAATAATAATAATAACAATAATAATTAAAAGACACGGTTCTATGCCAACCTAGGAGAGTGAAACATCTCAGTGACTTGTAATTCTCCAAGTCTCCACTAGATTCCTTTTCTTTATGGTACTGGGGATTGAACTCAGGACCCTGCACTTGCCAGGCAGGTGCTTATGCTGCTGAGCTATCTCCCCAGCCCGATTTATTTTTTCTTGCTTTGTTAATTTTTCTCCCCATTAACTGTGTGTGTGTGGTGCTGGGCACTGAATCTGGGGCCTCACACACACTAGGCAAGCAGTCTACCTCCAAGGTGCATCCCCAGCCTCTTACTGTAGGAACTTCTTACTATAGGAAATTTTAAACATACACAGATGTAAAGAGAAGTGTTTAATAGGCCCCCATATTCCTACCACCAAGGCTTTAAGTATCAACTGATGGTCAATTTTGTTTCATTTATATACCCTTCCAATGATGTCAGACTCTCATTTGGTGATATTAATTGCTGTGGACAGTCATGGTCTAGACTCATTATTTTCTCTCTCTTTTTTTTTTTTTTTTTCAGAACCAGGGATTGAGCTCAGGCCCTTGCGATTGCCAGGGCAGTGTTTATTCCACCGAGCCTTCTCCCCAGCCCTCATTATTTCATTAGAGGTGGCAAAAGGGTGATATTCCAATTCTATCATTCCTTTTTTCATTTATTAGTTGGATAATGTTGTGGGTTCATAATCAATATAGGAATCCAAGTAGCCAATTAAAATTTGAAGATTTTTATTATCTGAGCTCAGTGACTATCAGCATAGACCCCAGTTTTAGAGTCTAACTGAAGTGGTCCTGACCAGAAGACATGGCGTGTATATAAAGGGAATAGGCAATATATCTTGCTTGTCAAACAGTTAGATTATCACCCATCCTGTCTGTCAAACAGATTTTTTTTTTTTTTTCCTATACATCTGGCTACTTTTTTCCCTGTCATTGTTTAGGGTCAGTGCTTTCTCAGGGTATATTTTCTCCATATAGCAGGCCTGTTTCTATTACACTGGGGTCAGCTAAAGTTTACAATGGCAATACCTATGCTAAAAGTCTGGGTTTAGGCCATCACAGATAACTCCTATAAAGAGAAACCCACCATCATTCGTGGTTTGAATATCCTGAGGTAAATTTTGTAAAGAGAAATTAGGATAAATGCCTCTTTATTCTTACCAGTGTTCAATACAAAGTTTCCTTCTTTAAAAAGTGTTTCTTGGGGGCCAGGGAGATGGCTCAGTAGAATAAGCTCTTGCCTGACAAGCACAAGGCCCTGAGTGTAATCCCCAGTTCCACCAAAAATAAAAAAATAAATAAAATAAAAAGTGTTTCTCTTTAGAAGTATGTGTTATTATTAAAGTAATACATGTTCATAGTATAAGAAGAGAAATAGGTCAGGTAAGGTGGCTCACATCTGTAACTTCAGTATTTGGGATGCTAACATAGAATGAAACCTTGTTTCAAAATAAAAAATAAAAAAGGGCTGGGTGTGTAGCTCAGTGTTTTGCTTTGTTTTGTTTTTTCCTCTGTATTTTAGGGAAGGGTATACAGGGTGTTCAGGGTCTCACTACTAGATCAGACTCGTAGTGATTCTCCTGTTTTATAGCCTCCCAAGTGCTGGGATTACAGGCGCACTACCACGCCCAGTCTCAATTGCTGTCTCAGTGTCTGGTTTCTTTTCTCTTTTTAGATCCCCTGGCATGCACATTTTCTTTAAAAAGCTGCCACCATACACCCCATTTCTTGGGGCTCCTGTTCTCCAAGATGGATTATACAGCAGAAATCCTCTTTATTGCTATCTTCTCTTTCCCTACAACACACCTACTGAAGCCCCCTCCCCCAACCAAACAAACCCTGCATATAGGCCTTTTCTGGTTTTATGAATTATACTGATCTGGAGAAATGATAGTAGGCCATCAAGAATCTGTAGATAACTGGGAAATTGCTATGATTCCCCCCTTTTCCCTCAACCTCTGCTCCTCTGCCAATCATCCCTCTTTTGGGCTTGTGCTCTTGCATATAGGTGGCAATTTTACACATTGAGTGATGGTAGTCTCTTTTTTCCCTAAAGTTCCTATAGAATTAAAAAAAAAAAAATCTTGATCCATTAAATCCTGCTGAGTGAAGCAGGATAATCCTAAAACAACTGTTTCTACTGTAATTTGGGTCTAGACCAATTGGAAAACTCAGTGAAAGCTATGGCATTTCAACTCTGAAAATCCCAGACCACACAATTACACATTCAATTCTGCGGTTTTTTGGACACCGAGTTGAAAACATCAGGTTTATGCAGCATCATAATTTGGAAAGTTCCTAACAAACAGGCTTTTTCTTTCTCCCTGTCCCCACAGCTCCTGTCTGAAGAATCCCTAAGTCTGTTTTTCCAAGAATGTCACAAACAAGCCACACAGGGCTTCAAGCTTTACATGCCACAGGGTCGATACTGGCGGCTTCGTCTCTGTCCTGGTAACTGTTCATCCTAGATTCTTCTTCAAAGGTTTCTAGAGGGTAATAGTGTCCAAGTCCTCCCAAATCCTGCTGTACACCTCTGCCTCCATTCTTGTCTTCACCTTCTGTGCTCCCCTCATCCTGAGATTTAGCCTCTTCCCCAAACACTCCACTTAGGGATCCATTGGATCTTCATAGCCTCATATTCTGTCCTGTATTTTCTCTCCCTCCAGAGCTTCCCCAGGTTCCTAGTGAGTATGCTGGGCTGGTGGTTCGCACTGTCCTGGAGCCTGTGTTGCAAGGAGTGCAGGAACTGCCACCCCAAGCCCAGGCCCTCACCCTCAGTCAAGCGCTGACAGCCATCCTGGGTGCCTGGCTCGACCATATCCTTACCCAGAAGATCCGGTTCAGGTGGGAAGAAAAGCTAGCATTGGCAGGGGGATGAATGGAACTGGGGAAAAGGTGGGGCATGAGTAGTTCAGAGGTTGGAGGGCTTGGGTGGCCACACTGTGCTGGACATTTAGCCTGCAGGGGGCGCTGCAGCTCAGACAAGACTTTGGAGTGGTCAGGGAGTTGCTGGAAGAAGAGCAGTGGGATCTGTCCCCGGAGCTTCGTCAGACTCTGCTCATGCTCAGCATCTTCCAGCAGTTAGATGGGGCCCTGCTGTGTCTACTGCAGCAGCCCCTGCCCAAGACTCGAGTCCTCAGGAGGTCCCCTTGTTGCTGTGAGTCATTTTCTTTACCCAACCCCAGTGCCACCTCCACCCCCCCAGGTGCTTCATGTGACCCATTCCTTACCTATCTTTGATGTGGGTGTAGTGTCTCACTATCAGCCACTTGCCTTTCACTCCTGCCTTACCAGGTGTTTGTAATGAGGTTCAGACCATGGGATTGGCCAGCAGCAGCCTCAACAGCCTGGAGAACTTGGAGCCCTCTCTACAGCCTGGAGCACCTCTAGCCCAGACAACCCAGTTGCAAAGCACCCTGGGGGTTGGGAGACCTAGCCTTGAGGCTTACCTGGTAGGAAATCAGCAGGCCTGGCTTGCCCTTAGGCAGCCCCAGCGCTCCCAGTGGTACCTGCTTTTTCTTTCCTGCCTGGGGCTCAGTCCTGAAACTTAGGGGGCCTAGGCTCAGGAGCTGCTCATCTCTGAATGGAAAACCATGGACATTTGGAACTGAAATTTCAAGAAGCCTAGACCTGGCAGCTTAGAAGAAAATATACGTAAACTCCATAGAGCCTGGAATGACAAGAATCCAAGGTGACTCTAGTGCCTGTAATCCACAGTAAAGAGCAAAATCACTGCCTGCAACCTGAAGGTCAGAATCCTTGGGTGGGGGTGGGAGTGGGAGGCGCAGGCCTAGTTCCCTCTTCTGAAGAGATCTCGGGGCTAGAGAGTTAGATCTCAGAAACAAAGGAAAAGCAACAGAAAAAGGGGTGCTTCCTCATAAATCCCAGGAGCCAGGCTAAAACCAGTTAATTCTTGGAAAGGCGCGAAAGTGGAGTAAGCACATGTATCAGTCCCAAGGGGCGTGTTACCCTGTGTTCCCTCCCCATTACTCTTCTCAGTCATTTAAGAATATTGGGCTGTGGGACCTTCGGTTTAAGCTTTGGTTATTTGATTACCTGAATGGAATCTGCTTCTTGGCAGGCAGATAATCACTGCTAGGACAGTGTCCTCTCCTTGGTGGAGGTCAGAATTTAAATTGGCGTTAGCCTAGACGTGGCACAGCGAGATAACGAAAAAGGAAGGGCTGCGACTGCAGAAGGCGCTTTGCCCTGTTTTCACAGTAGGACAGTGGACTTAACCATAGGAAGCATTTATTGGCCGCTTAGTAAAATCACCCTTCCCCCATACCTTCCTCCCCTGGGGCGGGAGAGCCGGGGCGGCAGCATCTTGGAGGTAGGGGCTGGGAGTCTCTCCCCGGAAGCAGCGCAGGGCGGCGGAAGGCTCAGGTCCATCTTCCGCAGCCGTATCCTAGCAACGCGACCCGCCCGCCGTAATCCTTCCGGGGCGGAGGTCACCATGGCGGCGTCCCTGGCTCGGCTGGGTCTGCGGTCGGTCAAGCAAGTTCGGGTTCAGTTTTGCCCTTTCGAGAAGAACGTGGAGTCGGCGAGGTACCGGAGAGGTGAAGGGGGGTGTGTGGGGAGGCTCCGCCCGCTCGCCCCAACCAGGCGCTCCCCCCGTTCCAGGACCTTCCTGCAGGCGGTGAGCAGCGAGAAGGTTCGCTCCACCAACCTCAACTGCGCCGTCATTGCGGACGTGAGGCACGACGGCTCGGAGCCCTGCGTGGACGTGCTGTTCGGTGGGCCTGGGTGGGGAGGCGGGCGGGGGGGCGCGGGCGGCCCAGCCCCGCGGGGGGCCCGGATGCGAGCCTCACGCCCGCTTGTGGCCCTTCCGCAGGGGACGGGCACCGCCTGCTCATGCGCAGCGCCCACCTCACCGCCCTGGAGATGTTTGTCGCCTTCGCCTCCCACGTCCAGGCCAGAGCCGCGGCGGAGAGCGGGGAGAAGCCAGGCGCTGGCCCTGGGCGCTGACGGCGAGGAAGCAGGCGAAAAGCTGACTTTGGCCGAGGGCTGGGCCACTCCCCTGAGAATTACTGCCTTAGGCGTTCAAGTAACCATCGGAGGGGTCGGCCGGCCGGGGGCGCCTCATCCCCTCTGGGCGAGACGGGGTGCGAGGGGTCTGGACGCAGGTTTCTTTCACTTGCTTACCATCACTTCTCGCTACTTTTGAATTTGGCTTTTAACCTTTTTTTCTTTTTTAACCGAGCTAGTGCTGTTTTTCAGTCAACCTTTTCAGTAGTTTTTCCCTCTACCCTTTGTGGAAGCTCTACGCGTTCGATCATTTTTCCCCAAACTACAAAGGCGTTTTTCTTCTCTTTATTCCTGGGACATCCTGTCATCTGTGTCATAAACCTTGCATTTCTGTTTGGTTTTTCTCAACTTGTGTGCTCTTGTAAGTTTACCTACTACCAACTTCCTCCACATGCCACCAGCATGCTTTGTGTAAAATAAAATTGATAAGATATTTATGTATGCTTGCCTCTTCCACCTGCCTTCCCCATACTTTTTAAAAGGTTGTTCTGGCCTTTTTCCTTGCATATTTTATCTGAGTTCAAAAATATTCTGAACTTTTAAAATCTCTTCAAAACAATCTCCTCATTCCCATTCATTCTCTTTTATCCTCATTCTTCCGTCATTTTTGCTGTTTATCTTTCCAAAGCACATGACCTTAGTTATCTTAAACCAATACCTGTTTGACAAAACAGTATCTGAAGTAGGTTGTTTGTGGGTGTGGGGGATGTAGGTGTGTTTGAGACAGTTTTGCAGTGCAGTTCAGGCTACCGTGAACTCACTTTGTAACCCAGACTGGCCTCAGACTCGCAGCAATTCTCCTACCTCAGTCTCCTGACTTTTGGGATTATACCACCACATCCAGCTAACTTGCAATCTTAAATATATATGTATGGGAAAAAAAAATGTAAATAGCAGGTCATTTGAATTTGAGGGCTGCATCTGATATCTGCTTTGCATAATAGAATATATTTAAT